GATCAATTCGTAATGGGTTCGATCAATTTGGTTAATACTCAAAGGTTTTATTAATTTTCCTGTGATGGGTTAGGTTTATTATCAACTGGGTATTTGGGATTTCATGAAAAATTATTAAATTGGGATATGTATAATAAAAAGAAATTATTTTTTTTGTATTATCAGGTCACTGAAGGCTACTGTGCTTGATGCCAATCTGAATATTGTGGCTGCTGAATTGATTAATTTTGATTCTGAGTTATCCCATTACAAAACTGAAGGGGGTGTTTATCGTGACGCGTTAGTAAATGGGAGAATTGTTTCACCCACATTGATGTGGGTAGAGGCATTTGAATTGATTCTTCAGAGACTTGAAAAATCATCAAAATTCGATTTTGGGAAGATTGTTGCTGTTTCAGGTAGTGGACAGCAGCATGGTAGTGTGTTTTGGAAGAAAGGGAGTGCTGCCATATTATCATCTTTAGATGCTAAGAGATCGTTGGTAGAGCAGCTAAATGATGCTTTTTCGACGAAAGAATCTCCGATATGGATGGACAGCAGCACGACGGAACAATGCAAGGCGATAGAGAAGGCTGTTGGAGGGGCGATGGAGTTGTCTAGACTTACTGGTTCTCGTGCATATGAGAGGTTTACTGGTCCGCAGATCCGGAGATTGTTTGAGACACAACCGGAGGTTTATAATAATACTGAGAGGATCTCCCTTGTTAGCTCCTTCATGGCATCTTTGCTTATTGGGGACTATGCCAGCATTGATCACACGGATGGTGCAGGGATGAATTTGATGGACATTAAGCAGAGGGCGTGGTCCGATATCATTTTGAAGGTATTCTGGTTTGTAATAAGAATAGAAGGCCTTTCGCACCCAAAGCAAGAATCATAACTAGACCAAATGTCTTCCTGTTCTATTTATATTTTTATTAGAAATTCTTGGTTAATATTATAATGTGTTGGTGAAGAAACTAATGCTTATCTATTCTTCTTTATTAGGTTTTGATTGAATCTTAAACATGTTCGGTTGGTTAATTTGTGCTTTACTTGCTTCTCCAGGCCACAGCTCCGGGTTTGGAGGAAAAACTTGGAAAATTAGCTCCTGCACATGCTGTTGCTGGATCTATTGCTGCCTATTTTGTGGAGAGGTAGATCATTATATGTTTTCCTTGCTTTAAACTCAATTTCATCAGAAGAAATTTAAAGCTTTCTTTTTTTACTTTTCGTTCTGACCAATATTCTTGAGCTAAATCAATGGGTGTTCAAGGGACCTTAGAAATTCACTGGTGATGATCAAATTGGAATTTGGATCTTCAAAGAGGATCTAGTAGAAACTAATCACCCATTCAATCAGGAGTCAGCCAAGTGCATTAGCTATAAATTCATCCAACCCCCTAAACTAGTTTACAAAATAGAATTCGGATTTCGAACTCTATAAATCAAGTGGGCCAAGGTAGAATCCCGCGTCCTAGAACCCATAATGTTCAGATCCTGAATCCATCTCTGCATTCAATACAATGTCTGTATTGTCCTCTTCTCTATTTTTGCTGGTTCGGTGCTTAGCTGGGTTCACAATGTTCTACACCAAAGCTTTGCTCTTTTTTAGGTGTTAGTATAGATACTTTTCCTTATATTTGCTAACTGTGTGTTAAATCTTCCATAAACCGCTTTTCAGTTATCACTTCAACAAAGACTGTTTGATCATTCAATGGTCTGGAGACAATCCCAACAGCTTGGCAGGTGAGAGGATTTTGCTGAAAATTCTGTGTGTATTTTCTGTTAGATACTTCTCTCGCTTGCTATGTGGTCATTGTTTTGGGATGTTCACCTGTATAGTTTACTGCAAATGATGCGCACTGCCAGATGGTTTTGATTCCCATACTGTATATGTCAAACTTATGAAGGCCCTAATTCAATTATATTTTGTTCCCAATTCAACATCCCAACTTTTCTCCATCAAAGTTGATGGGGATGGGGCTGAGTATCGAGTTACTCGACTCTCGAGTATGGACATAGAAGTAGATTTCTCTGATGTATTAGAATTAAGTTCTGGGCCATCAGCTAGTTTTTGGGCTTTATATATTGTTCAATTATCTTAGAGCTTATGGTATAATCTCGTAAACATTCACTCACAAGTTTGATTTATGATAAATTGATAATCCTTGAGACATAACTTTGCATGTGAGGAGGTCCAAAAAAGTTGTCGCGCTTATCTGTTTTAGAACTAAATCTTTTTTTTTTTTGTGTGTGTGTGTGATTTTGCCATTCTGCCTTTGTACAGTACTGCTTTTCATGTATATCAACCTAAAAGTTGTATTAGCTTATAGTTTACTATGTCCTGATTACTTGGCTTTCTGACATGTAGGGTTGACTTTAAATACTCCAGGAGATCTGGCAATTAGTCTTGGCACTAGTGATACAGTAAGTTTGAATTTTTTTTATTTGTTTTGGTTGTTACTAGTACCATAATATCGCCCTTTTTTATGATATAATAGTTCAATTTTTTATAGTTCTTATGCAAGTAGAAGTAAGTTGGGGTTTTCCCATTTGTTTGGGTTGTTATTAGAGGCTGTTTGGATGGGTTTATAGCTTTTGACTTATAAGTCAAAAGCCATAAGTTAGGAGTTCTAAGTATCATAATATTGGCTCTTTTTGTTTCTATATGATATAATAGTTCTACTTTTGATAATTGTTATGCAAATAGACCAAAGAAAATAAAGCTATTTACTAATTGGAAATCTCCACGTAAAGGCATGAAGGGCTAAACAATGCTGGCGACGGTACTTATCATATTGTCTTCTAGCTAAAGGACTAAAATCTTTGCCTATGTGTTTAGTGCTTCTGTCGCATCACCCTGGACTTGCTGCTTCTCTCTTACATTATCACAAACATTCTTTGGAAACAGTATTGTACATATTCTTGATATGGAGGCCAAATGATGCTCTTTCTTTTAAAAGGTTTTCGGAATAACAAAGGATCATAATCCAAGCATGGAAGGGCATGTTTTCCCTAATCCCGTCGATACCGAAAGCTACATGGTAATGTTGTGCTATAAAAATGGATCACTGGCTCGTGAAGGTAACATATTGATCTCAGCAGATAGTAGACCAGGATTAGTACCTAAAGTCAATTTTATTGAATATGAACCATATCGTTGGCAGATATACGCAATCATTGTGCTGAAAAGTCTTGGGATGTTTTCAACAAATATCTGCAGCAAACTCCTCCACTAAATGGTTAGTAAAAGTGTACAACAATGATGTACATATATACTATTTCTTCTGGGATTTGAAATGATTCTGATATCTGCTGCAGGTGGTAGATTAGGATTTTACTATAAGGATTTTGAGATACTGCCACCCCTCCCAGGTAAGCTCACTAGTTTGTTAGCATTTAAAAAGTTGATCTTTATCTGTGAGTGTGTATCTTGCTCCTTATTTTCATCAAAACAAATATGCTGGTAATTCTAAGTAAGAAATAACTGGTTCATGCAGTTGGTTTCCACCGCTATATCCTTGAGAACTTCACGGGAGATTCTCTTGATGGAATAAAAGAGCAGGAAGTGCAAGAGTTTGATCCCCCTTCTGAGGTTAGGAGTTAAAACAGTGTTCATTTGAAGATACTTGCCTGCTCATTTGCACATTTTGTGCATAGATATCAAGTGGACATTCAAGCAGAAGTAACTTACATTTATGAATCACAAATTTATCTGCAGGTCCGAGCCATCGTAGAGGGACAACTTCTTTCCAAGAGAGCTCATGCTGAAAGATTTGGAATGCCTTCTCCTCCAAAGCGAATAATTGCAACTGGAGGTGCTTCTGCTAACAATTCCATTCTAAGCTTGATAGCTTCTATCTTTGGATGTGATGTTTACATTGTTCAACAGCCAGGTTAGTTAATCTCTCGGTTGTTTCCTTTCACTTACATACCTCATCGGTCTACTGCCTATCCAGTAGGTCGCTATCCCTAACTAAGAATAACTACTTGTACGACAACCTAATCAAGAATGACATGGATGGATTGTCATCGTCCCTTAAATCTTGTTTCCTACTTGCAGACTCGGCTTCCCTAGGTGCTGCTTTGAGGGCTGCTCATGGTTGGTTATGCAACAAGAAGGGCAGTTTTGTGCCGATTTCATCCATGTACATGAACAAGATGGACAAGACATCACTTAACTGCAAGCTCGCAGCAACAGCAGGAGACCAGAAGCTTGTCGCCAAGTATGCTACATTGATGAAGAAGAGAATTGAAATTGAGAATCGCCTCGTTGAAAAACTGGGGCGTTTGTGATCTTTATTTATCCTTGAGCCTGATGAGAACTCTCTTTAAAAAATAAATTCCAGTAAGAATAAACCTATAATACTCTCTGTAAACAGATTCGACAAGCCTATCAGATGATTGAATATTTGAATTCATGATGATTTGCGCCTTAAGTTTTAGTGGTGATGCCATATGACATATAAATGAATAAGAGATTAGTAAGATAGCCAGTGTATATATAATTACATTGCACAACTTGAGAGAGAGAATATAACTGTTTTTATGCATGATTTGCTCTTTAACAAGTTCTCAAATGCAACATGTCTTGCTCAAGTGGTGTTCTTGACTTCTTGTTTTGCCAAACTCCGAAAATCTACTTATTTTGACAAGTGTTTTTTTGCAAGGATAGATTGTGTCTGACTAATCAATATGAAAAACGCTTTTAAATTGCATCCACTATTTGAATACACTTCCCCCCTACAAACTTGGTTTAAATACTTTAACTCTAAATAAAAAATTTAAATACGCATTTTGGCAAAAGTAAAACCTAACCAAACAGGCTATAACTCATGAAATATTGGAAGTGCAACAATAGAGGAACAAAACAGAAAACGATGTGTCTTTTAAGTATTTGTCTCTTATTTCCTAATTAAAATTAAAATATCTATCCATCAAATGTGACAATAGAAAATATTTATCATGGATAGTCTACCACATGATGGGGAAAGGTGATAAGTTGTTTACGTTTAGAATTAGATTCATTCTCTTGAAGTATTAAAATCTTTTAGATATTGTGATTTTCTTGTTAAAAATCGTATCTTTACCCTTTCAAGTTTCAACCAAGTTGTTTAAGTTTTTCATAAAGTTTTCTTATATGGAGGATTGCTCCCTTCCTCAGGACTCATTGTTCCTAGGTTTTGATTGTTCCACTCAGTAAGTTATTCCATATTTCTAATTGAAAATTAGATAGCACAGTTGATCAAAATTTCTTCTTTTTTTTTCAACTTGATGCAATATGCTTAACCCCTTTTGCTTGCTTCTGCTTGTTCTTGAACTGGGTACTCCTACAAAGTGTTCAAGAATCAAGAAAAATTATTATTTTAAAAATTGGATCTTTAACTGAAGAACTTATTTGGGTCTTGATTTCTTAGGTCACTGAAGGCAACTGTGTTAGATGCTTATCTTAACATAATTATATCAGAACTTGTGAACTATGATTCTGAGTTGCCTCACTACAATACCAAAGGTGGAGTCTTTAGAGACCAAATTGTTAATGGTAGAATTGTATCACCAACATTGATGTGGGTGGAAGCATTAGACTTAATTCTCCACAGACTTGAAATGTCAAATTTGAACTTTGGAAAAATTGCTGCTGTTTCTGGTAGTGCTCAGCAACATGGTAGTGTTTATTGGAAGAATGGGAGTTTTGAAATACTATCATCATTGGATCCTAAAAAACCACTTATGGATCAGTTTCTTGATGCTTTTTCAATCGAAAAATCGCCCATATGGATGGACTGCAGCACAACAGAACAATGCAAAGCTATTGAGATAGCTGTAGGTGGTGGTCTGGAGCTGGCCAAACTTACTGGTTCTCGTGCACATGAAAGATATGTCGGTCCTCAAATTCGAAAGATTTTTGAAACACGGCCTGAAATTTATCAGAATACAGAGAGGGTATCCTTAGTTAGTTCTTTTATGGCATCTTTACTTATCGGGGGTTATGCTTGCATTGATCAAACTGATGGAGCAGGAATGAATCTCATGGACATTGAGCACAGAACTTGGTCCAAGATAGCTCTGGAGGTTGTTTCTTGTGCTTGAAATCTAGTTTAATCATGTTACTGTAGTTAAATTTTAGTAGCTTACGTAAATGTTGCAGTTGATTGTGTTTGTTCTAGGCTACTGCACCTGGTTTAGAGGAGAAACTTGGGAAGTTAGCTCCTGCTTATGCTGTTGCTGGTTCTATTGCTTCCTATTATGTTGAGAGGTTAGCGAAAATTGACATGCTGTTTACAAAATTTCGTTGCCTTCTACAATAGTTTTTCCATTCTAGCCTTTGCTTCTGTTCATCATCTTTTATATCTGATTCTATGAAGCTATCTCGTTTCTTCTCAAGAGTAATGTTTCTTTCAGTATGAGTATTCCAACCTTCATTTTAGCTGATTAGCATTCCATCGACCACAAAGGTAGAGTTAAGGCCTGCGTACACCCACCCTCCCCAGACCCCACTTGTGGGGTTATACTGTGTTATGGTTGTTGCTGCAGTATCCTATCAAAGTTAAGCTGCTACCAAAGGTAACCACACTAATATTTGCCATCTGGAGTATCACTGTGAATATTTTCTGCCTTCAATTCGGAGGCACTTGCTGGATGAACCAACGATACTAAGTCACAGAAATTTGGTATTTTCAAGTCTAATCTAAAAACATATCTGCATATAATGTCCTGACGATAGCGAATATTGTATTATGTATGATGCATTTGCTCATTATGATGCCAATTTCTACTTCATTCTACTGTTAGCTTGTGTTTCCACTGATAGAAACAGCTGCAGGTACCACTTCAACAAAAATTGTGTAGTCGTTCAATGGTCTGGAGACAACCCCAACAGCTTAGCAGGTGAATTCCTTGTTTTTTCCAGTTTTTCATGATGAATAAGAACTTGAATTATACTTTTTTGCAAATGATGTTTTATCTACTTAAGCAGCTATTGTTTGTGCCACTAGAGATTCTAGTGCGTAGATGACTCATTTTATTTGCACATCCGATTGCCCGTTGTAATGGAGATGTTCTAGATTATCTGTGGTTATCCACACACCCGAACTGGTTTGGGACTGAGACATGGTAGCAGTTGTTGTTGAACACCATCAACAAGAATCCAATTTTCATCCATCGGCCTACTACTACTAACTGAACCTTTGGATCCTGTAGGGTTGAACCTTAACACTTATGGAGATCTGGCAATCAGTCTTGGCACAAGTGACACTGTAAGAGACTAAAAGCTTGCTGTCTTGCATACACACTTCCATTGCCTCTTTTCTAAGAAAAAGAGCCTTGCACTTATAACATGCTAAGCACCATCAAAACAAATGTTGTTGTGAAAATTGGTGCACTTACCCCATAGATATATATATTTAATTGAAAGTGACAAGAGACTTTAGTTTCAAAGAGATGCATAGAGACATCTTATATGCAGAAAAGCCAATTTTCTATTTGCTTTTGCCCCTCTTTTTCTCTTGTACTGTTCCGAAGGTTGGATAATATTTGAGAGAAGAAAAAATCAAGAACTGTTATCTGTGCTCTTTTAACCCCTCCCCTAGGAGCTCCCACCTTTGCTCCCTCGGTGACTTGAACCAACAACCTTAAGGTTGGAAGTGAGGGTTGCTTAATATCCGAGCAACTCCCTCTTGTCGTTATCTGTGCTCTTAGTAACATGATTTATAGGTAATCATGCTGTTATCCAGGTCTTCGGGATTACCACTGACCATAAACCTAGCTTAGATGGCCATGTATTTCCTAATCCAGTAGATACCAAAAGCTTCATGGTAATGCTGGTCTACAAGAATGGGTCTTTGACTCGTGAAGGTACTCTGCTTGTATCTGATTTCCAAACTTAAAGGATGTCTGAAATTGGGGCACACATCTTATTGGCAAGTGCTTGAAACCCTCGTAGATATACGTGATCGCTATGCAGATGGATCTTGGGAGGTTTTCAATATGTTTTTACAGCAAACACCACCTTTGAATGGTTAGTGAATTTTGATTCAGATCTCGTAAACTGTAGTTTCTTTATAAACATTGTACACTTGTTACTTGCAAAAGGTGGAAAGATTGGCTTTTATTACAAAGAGCATGAAATACTTCCTCCTCTTCCAGGTCAGTGCACTCCTAAAATACAACTAAACTGATAGACCAGTTGAATTATTTTTCATATCATGAGAAAATTATGATAAAACTCACAAGCTTGGTCTCCAGTTGGTTTCCACCGCTACATTCTTGATAATTTTACGGGTGACTCCGTGGATGGAGTAATAGAACATGAAGTAGAGGAGTTTGATCCGCCTTCAGAGGTAAGTGGCCTTGTACTGAAGAAGTTATCTGAATCATGAAAGACTTTAATTAGCATCTAGAGACACAAACACAAATGGAGGTGACTGGTACTTACAGGTTCGAGCGTTAATTGAGGGGCAGTTACTCTCCATGCGAGCTCATGCCGAGAGACTTGGAATGCCTTCTCCACCCAAAAAGATTATTGCAACTGGAGGAGCATCTGCAAATGATCATATCCTGACAATTATTGCTTCTATTTTTGGGTGCAACGTCTATACTGTCCAAAAACCAGGTAAACAAACTCATTCATATTGGTCTGCTGACAGTTCTCTTGAGCATACTGTTACATTGTTCTATACTGTCGGAAAGTCACTTTCTTTGTTGATAAAAACTGGAATATAATAACTATTACTTGAGTGATCACATGAGAAAACAACCCCTCTACTGTTAGAGTGAAGGGATTTGGCCATACTCTTGTAAGAAGATTTTCAAGATGTTGTTGAGAAGTTGATGAAGAATTGCTTTTGCTTCCTTCAATAGATTCAGCTTCCCTCGGTGCTGCCTTGAGAGCCGCTCATGGTTTGTTGTGCAACCAGAAGGGAAAATTTGTACCCATCTCTGATATGTATATAAGGAAATTGGAGGAGACATCCTTAAGCTGCAAGCTTACGGTGCCTGCTGCAGATCAAGACCTTATTGACAAGTACACATTGTTGATGAAGAAGAGATTGGAAATTGAAAATCGTCTCATCCAAAGATTGGGACGTTAGTAAATTTTCACTAAGGTCATGTACTGCATCCACGTTTAACATGTTTTTACCATAGTGGTTGTTTTTTAAAAAATGGAGAAAAGGTCATATTTACCCTTTTACTTTGAGAAATGGCTTAAATATACTCTCCATTTGAGTTTTCACATTTGAATCCATGTTCCCTCATAACTTCTTTATATGTGTTGTACACTTCTTACTTGCAAGAGTTGAATAGGTCACTGTATTCAGGATGCATCCATGTTCCCTCATAAGATCCACAAGCTTCTTCCAACCTACCAACCTCAGACAATCCCTTAATCATTGCGTAAGATATGTGATCATATCAGGAAGAAGATCAATCAAATCCATCTCTCATCAACCGCATTACTCATCCATATCGCCTTTGTCACACAACAATCGAATAACTACATTATACACTGTCGCATCTGATGGACAGTTAGACTCCTCAACACCCACAGGGCCAAGGTAGCATCTTTTACCTCCCTACACAAATTCACTAGAAACTTAAAGCTGCAGCCTATAAGCCTCAATGACATGTTGAACAATTGTGGTTCGTGGTCAACGCTGAGCAGTTTATAAGCTCTACTAGACATGTTACTGTTGTGCCTATAGCTGGGATAAATGCCAGCCCAAGTGAAGAATCTTAGACCCATTTGAGGATCAATAGCCGCGCATTCCTCTTAAACTTCATTATAACACATCTAGCATCTAGTTTAGCCTTAACTGTGTTTAGAGCCTTTTCCTTACCAGACCGATTTTATTTTTCAGCAAATGAGTTAAAAAATTCTCAGGCTGCAAGTCTGCAATATTTTGTTGTGTTTCAATCTGAATATTGGCGTCTACTGAACCACAAACAAAGGAAGCAATGGAGAAAATGTAACATTGTTTTAAAAATATAGAAAGAGAAAAAAAAAACGCAAAACAGTTTAATCAAACAAGCACGTTTAACTTTTCATAGCAGAAGAATTCATTTCAGCAAACAAGACAGCATTAAAATACAAAATAGCAGTGATGTATCTAAGTGCAGCATTTGAAGAACACCCAAAGGAAAATACAATCCAACAAACAAAGCCATCATGTGTTTAGTATTCCTCGTGATCATCATCCTCTCCTTCTTCCAAATCAGCACCAACCTCCTCGTAATCCTTTTCCAAAGCAGCTAGATCTTCACGTGCTTCACTGAACTCACCTTCCTCCATACCCTCACCAACATACCAGTGCACAAAAGCACGCTTGGCATACATCAGATCAAACTTGTGGTCAATGCGTGAGAAGACCTCAGCAACACTGGTTGAGTTGGAAATCATACATACAGCCCTTTGCACCTTGGCAAGATCACCTCCAGGAACAACAGTTGGTGGCTGATAGTTGATACCACACTTGAATCCAGTAGGGCACCAGTCAACAAATTGAATGGTGCGCTTAGTCTTGATGGTAGCCACAGCAGCATTCACATCCTTTGGCACAACATCACCACGGAACATAAGGCAGCAAGCCATGTACTTGCCGTGACGAGGATCACACTTGACCATCATGGAAGATGGCTCAAAAGCACTGTTGGTGATCTCTGCAACTGACAGCTGCTCATGGTAGGCTTTCTCGGCTGAAATGACAGGAGCATAGGATGAAAGCATAAAATGAATCCTGGGGTAGGGAACAAGGTTGGTCTGGAATTCATTGACATCAACATTCAGGGCTCCGTCAAACCTCAAAGAAGCAGTAAGTGAAGAGATAACCTGCGTAGATTCCACAAAAATTAATACCTAAAACAACAGAAATTTTGCAGTCAAACGTACTGTATATGATGTAACAAACAATACCTGTGAAATAAGACGGTTAAGATTGGTGTATGTGGGACGCTCAATGTCCAATGAGCGCCTGCAAATGTCATAGATAGCCTCATTGTCAAGAAGAATTGCGACATCAGTGTGCTCAAGAAGGGAGTGGGTTGACAGGACACTGTTGTAAGGTTCCACCACAGATGTTGAGACCTGTGGTGATGGATAAATGGTGAAACCAAGTTTTGATTTCTTTCCATAGTCCACAGAGAGACGCTCCAGCAGAAGTGACCCAAGACCTGAACCAGTTCCACCACCAACAGCATTGAAAACCAGGAAACCTTGAAGACCAGTACAGTTATCGGCAAGCTTCCTGATACGATCCAAGCAGAGATCAACTATCTCCTTCCCAACTGCAAACAAGACAAAAAGACAAATATAAGAACTTGATCAAGCTGAACAAATCCAAATACAGTACTGCAATAAGGTACAAATATTTACTTGTATAATGTCCACGGGCAAAGTTGTTGGCTGCATCTTCTTTGCCACTGATGAGCTGCTCAGGGTGAAAGAGCTGCCTGTATGTTCCTGTCCTGACTTCGTCAATGACAGTAGGCTCAAGATCCACAAAGACAGCACGGGGAACATGCTTTCCAGCTCCAGTTTCACTGAAGAAGGTGTTGAATGCATCATCACCTCCTCCAACTGTCTTGTCGCCTGGCATCTGGCCATCAGGCTTTTGGGAGAAATAACAATAACAAGATCGTCACTTCGTCAGCAATGCATCTAAAACAGGTTCTTAGCAACAGATACAATTCTATTGGATAACATGTTTTTCATATATCCAAATAATTTGAGTAATGTCATATAATCTCACAAAAGAACCTAATTATTGAATACATTAGCTAAAAAATTCCCAAGTATAAGAGCATTAACTACCATTCATTCACAATAAATCCTACATGTGTATTCAGTTTTGCGCCTCACGAATACATCAACAATCTCCTAAGGTACACTAGTTTTAATATAGCATTCAAGATGATCCACCTAATGTAGACATATAGACACATAAGTTTCTACTATACAACTATACTATGGACATTCATCCGATCTATTGAACATAACATGAATCTATCCAGAAAATTCGACTTTCAAATCATTTTGACATCATATTATCCAAACAGATCCATGTAAAAAAAAAAATCACATTTGAACAGATTCAATCAAAAATTGATGTTACTCAAACAGATTAATGCATCAATAGATCTATCAAAAGAAGAGTGGATTCAAATGTTTCTGACGTCAAACAAATGTTATTTTCTATTACTCAAACACATGTGCATTCAAATCATTTTGATATCACCATTTTTCACACAGATCCATATCATAACATCTGCATTTGAAAAGAGATTTATCATAAAGCACATTGATCTACCTAAATATATGCTGATTCAAATGTATTTTTTATATCAACGGGACCCGAAACAAATAATTCAAACAGATCTATACAAGAAGGCTTCGTATTTGAAGAGATCAAAGCACAACATTTTATATCATTCAAACAGATTCAAGAAGCACACTGATCTATGTATAAAATGCAAATTCAAATAAATTTTACATCTAAGGAACGTAAATTCAAAAATTCAAACAGATCTACACAAAAACAATTCGAAATTTAAGCTTGAAAAGATAGAGAGACGGTGAAAAATACAAACCTGAATGCCATGCTCAAGGCAGTAAAGTTCCCAGCATGCATTTCCGACCTGAATACCGGCCTGACCAATGTGGATAGATATGCATTCTCTCATTTTCGCTGCTTTTTTGAGAAATCCTCAAATTTCAAATTCAAAACGAAAGGACGTTTATCAAGACGCCTCTTCCGAAGATTTTAAGATCTGATACATTCTCTGTGCTGAGAAGCCCTTTTTATACCAAGAACAACTCCCAAGAAAATAAAATCTTGCGGTTGAGAACCACGGTTAGCTAAACTTAACCGTGGTTATGATTGTTGCTAGCTAACATACCACTATTGGAACACAGTTATCACCATCCTCCAATCTAGATTAACCATGGTTAACTCCGGCCTGTTAATGTTAACTTTAATTTAAAATGTATACAATGGGTCCTTTTGTTTAATATACTCCTTCCGTTCATTTTTAATCGTTGACTTGACATACTTATCAAAAAAGATAAAATTACTGATATATGTATTTTACTACACTATTATTATTAATTAATGCTTAGTATTAGGTCTTGAAAGATAAAAGTGAAGAATAAGTATTCAATGATAAGAGTCAACATAAAAAAAATAAAATTATATTTTCTTGATATGTCAAAAATGAAAATATATTGTTTAAGAATAAGTGACAATACAAGTAAACGAAGGGAGTAATTACAAAGAAAATTCAAACGTGGAAATATGACATAACACATTTTCAATTTATTGAGAATGGTTCTATAAAAAAGGTTATGAAAATCGTGAATTAAATTAGAACGTTAGCAGATAGTTAATCATTGTTTAATTTTTGGCGAGATAGGTTTTTCGCGAGTCTATACAAGTTCCGCATCCATACCAATAGAAGTGATATTTTTTTTTATAGTTTTTTGTCCTTGAGCTTTTGTTATTTCGCATAATCTTATGTGTTTTGATTATCATATTACTGTTACCATCGTTATTTTCTGAATGGATACGCTATATTTTCCTTGTTAATTGTTATGTTATTCTTTTACTTTGATGTATGTTACTCATCTTAAGAGTTTTCGAAAATAATTTCTCTGTCCCTACAAAACAAAAAGTAGGGGTAAAATCTACGGACTCGGTGGGAAGGGCAAAAATGTCAAAGAAGAAAACGTAATGGATAGTAATGCTTCGTTTTTACGTTTTGTACATTGTTGTGGGTTATAGCAAGTGGAAGCACATGCTATGTTAAAACGGCAGGTCACCTTTCTGACAAATGGGACCATTTAAACTTCACAAGGAATTTTGCATTGTTAATTGAGCCTCACCTTAACTTTCGATGAAAGGAAAATGGATCCTCAAGGTTCTACATTTAACTCAATTTAGTCCCTTCACAAATTTTATCTTTTTCCAAATTTGACTTTTCAAATGTAAAATTTTGCATCGAGACTTTTCAAATTATATATTTCATGATTTTCTATTATTGCATAATTTATGTGAAATTGTATAAATTCAGAAGTATGAAATCTACATAATTATTTCTTATGGAAATTGTTGGGTTTTTCCTTT